TTGATGGGAAACTTCTTAATACATTAGAACCTGTTTTTGGCAAGTGAGTATTCAACAGAACAAAAAACAAAAAGATAATTATTTTTATTTTTTGTTTAAATAGATCATATGAATTTGATGTTCAATTACCTTTTCAATCCTTAATACGTATACAAATATGGGACTGGGATATGACAAGTCCCAATGATATGATTGCTGAAACGAAAATTGATATTGAAAATCGTCGGTTTTCATGTCATAGAGCAACTTGTGGTTTACCAAAAAGATATGACAGGTCTATTAAACAATCGAAATTAATATATTAAACATTCGAATTTTCTTATATTTAGTGCGGGTTATAATACTTGGCGTGATACAAAAAAGCCATCAGTAATTTTAACTGAACTATGTCGAGCAACAAATATTAATGAACCCGATTATACGCTAGATTTTTGTTCAGTAAAAGTTGGCAATGAAAGCTTCCAATGTGATCCTGATTGTGTTGAATTTTTAAGGAGTGCAAGATCATCTGTGGTTACAGGGCATCGAAAAGTTCATCATGAATTACCCGAAGAATATATACGACAAAATACAGCATTAGCTGCTCTACATGGATGGGGAAGAAAAATTAATACGGTAAAAGAAATTTTTTTTCGATTTTTTATTTCTTTTATTATTCAAATTTATGCAGAAACATGCTTTGGTTGCTGAACATATTGAATCTCGATCACTTTTTAATCCAAAGTTCCCTGAAATTGAACAAGGAAAATTAGAAATGTGGTTAGATTTTTTTCCAATGTCACGACCACCTTCAAGTGCTATGATTGATATAACACCACCTAAACCCACCGCTTATCAATTACGTGTAACCATCTGGAATACAAGTGAAGTAGAATTAAATGATTCAAATTTGTTTACGGGAGAGAGAACTTCAGATATTTATGTTAAAGCATGGGTTGTAGGAGAAAGAATTGACGCACAACAAACAGATATTCATTACCGGTTTGTTTTATTCATTAGAATTAACGAAATAAATATATTTATATATATATATCTTTTTTGATAATAGATCATTGACTGGCGAGGGAAATTTTAATTGGCGATTCATATTCGATTTTGACTATTTAGATATAGAAGAAAAAATTGTTTTTGAAGCAAAAGATTCCTTATTTCAAGTTGGTAATACAACAAAAAAGATCCCACCAAGAATTATTATTCGTGTTTATGATGCAGATTTGTTTTCAGCTGATGATTTTCTTGGTTTGTTTATGTTTTATTTATGATTGAATAAATAAAAATTCTTCTAGGTGAATGTATGCTTAATCTGATACATGTACCACTCGGTGCTAAAACATTAAAAAAATGTACAGCTGGTATTCTACTTGATCCAAAACATAAAGGAACTGATTTATTTCTTAATAAACGTCTTGCAGGTATTTAGATTTAATTTGTTTTTCTTTTTCGATTGAATTTTCTTCGATTCTGAATATTTAGGTTGGTGGCCAATGATTGCTCCATTGAAATTAGGTGAAATTCGTGATAAAGCTTTAGTAGGAGTAAGTCAACACTAAATAAACAAGAAAGGAAAATCAAGATTTGACTATTCTATTCTAAAGGGAAAACTTGAAGCTGAATTTTCACTTGTTACTGCTGAAGAAGCAGAAAAAAATCCAGTTGGAAAAGCACGTGAAGCACCACAACCACTTGCAGAACCAAAGTTTGTTTTAATATTTGATTTTGTGAAATACGTTCTATTTATTCTAGTCGTCCAAAAACATCATTTCTTTGGTTTACAGCACCGTGGAAAACATTACGTTTTGTTATATGGCGTAATTTCAAATGGACAATTATAACTGGAATCTTTATTTTTATTGGTGTTATTTTTGTTTTACTTGCTGTTTGGAGTATACCCGGTGAATTAATTAGACAACTAGGAACTAAAATCTTTAACAACAAATAAGTGACATTGTAATTATTTATTTTCAAAATTATCATATTATATTTTTCATAACATTTTTGTACATATTCATTTTAATTTAAATCTTTACTTAAAAATATCTTGCATTAGTTTTTTAAAATAAATAACAGCGATAACTTTTAAAGATCCTACATTCATTTGAATATATTTGATGTTAAAATAGGCTTTTTTAAGAAATGAAACTAATATTGATAAAACTATTTCAATTCAATTCTTAACAATCATCGTTTCCTTATTCTTGTTTTACAAAACTATAATTCTTTTTCAAGTACGATCAGTCTTATCTTTTGCATCTAAAAATTTGACATTTATATAAATTAAATTTAGAGCATTTCATATTCAATACTCCCTTTTACATATTCATTCTTACTTATTAAAACGTTCTCTCGATATGAATATTGTTAGAGAGCGTGTAATAGTAATCTAAACCATTCGTTTTCCTCAAATATTGACTCCAAGAAGAAATTCATTAGCGTTTTCTTATCGTAAGTAATAGAACGTTTTCGTTTGATTGTCATTAATCTCAGTTGTCAAGATTATACAAGGCTGTATTCTTTTATTTTTATGCAAACAAGTAAACGAAAAAAAAACGTTTTACTTTTTTCATTTTTCTTTTTCGGACTTACTAAATTCCA